CTCTTCCGAATGTAAACAAAAACAGGTTTGCGTTGTGCGGCGAATCCCACATTAAAAGTCAGTGTGAACGTGTGTATTTTTTGGAGTTTTTGACTGTGAAAACGAAAAAAAGTACTTTTCGGGCAGTATGAGTCGTTACTGCGGACCAGTAATATTGCATTAAGGATGATTAAATTTTCAAAATAAAACGTCTTTCAGACATTATTCTGTTAGTATCAGAGTCTGAATGACCTGTTGTTGTGAAACATTGATTGACAGTTTAGGGATATGACTGGATTTCTTTTGAAATAAGTAAACTAGTACAACTCAAATTCGTTTTTTTTTACTATGTCCCACTGCGGCCCGGTACCAAATGACCTACCGACCGGCATCAGTCCCCAGACCGGGGGTTGAAGGTCATTCCCCGACTGCACTTTGGTGGCAGATTAACATACTTTTTTTTTTCTGGGTCACAGATACTGCACTCTCCATTTATTTAGATTTGTCCTCACCGTGCTCTGCATTGTACAGTCCGTATACGTCACCTTCTTCCCATCCTGTGGTAATTATCCTCCAGAATATTAATTCATATTAAATATTAAACATGTCGGTGCATATTCCTCGACATCTCTTCATTTTAAACTGACAAAACCTTATGACGAGATTAGCCGCTGGGAACTGCTGTTCCATTCTGTTGAGTCAGTGAAGTTGTGTTTTTTCCCCTTTTGTCGTGTTAAGCTCTTGTTTCGGTCTCCCATCTTTGGCCAGGTCATCCCGTCCTCCTCGTTTCCAGTTCCATGACGTGTTCCATATCCCTGCGTTACACACGCACACGCCCTCTATTTCTATAATAATTGCCTGCACCTGCCCTTGTGTTTACCATTGTTTGTAATTACCTACCTCCTCCTAATGTGTTCCACCTGTCCCGTAAGGAAGGGGCCCCGGGTCCGGAGGGTTCCAGGTGCGAGTCCCCCAGCTGCCTCTGAGGTGCTCTGAGGTGGTAGCGCTGCCCCCTGCTGACCTTGGTGACATTTTGTTGTGTGTGCATTTCACTTTAGACATCGCCCCAAATACTTAAATATACATTTTTCTTTCAGTCACTGCTTTTAAGCCTTTGCCGGGTTTTAATCATTTTAAGATTCCTGTCGATGTCCCATAATCCACATATAATGAATTTCTTGCACAGGTACTTGAGTGTTGGTTATACTTAGTAACTCTTGAAAGGAAACGACTTTGTATGGAAGGGATGTTAGGTCAAGCAGTACCTGGAACAACCTGGATAGGATCACACTGCAGCTGCTTCAGCTTAGAATCTTATATATTTTAAAAATAGTTATTGTATTGTATTGGAACTGAAATAAAAAACAAACAGACAAATTACTTTCCAAATACCACATTTAATTGATCATATTTTTTTTACCAAACTTAACTAAAAGACTCCCAGCTGCAAAGTCAGTACAGGATTAGGCAGTATGTAAGTGGCAAATAAAAAAACGGTGCCTTACGCAGAATGGTCGTTTGTTCCAGGAGATTTCACCCTAACATATACAACGGGTTCCATTTTTTTTATGGAACACAGGAAAATGAATGAATTTAGGCAGACGGACATTATCAGTAAGGTGCGGTTTTAAAGTGGTGCTAAGTAGTGGAGGAGTGCTTACAGGACAGGGATATAATGTGCCTTTTTATCCATTACTGAAATATCCATCTGTCTTCGGTCCTACTGTAATATCTCCATAGCAGGAAATGCTCTCTGGACCTGGCGCCTGCCTAGTGGTGCTTCAAGGATGCGGCGAATCTATTCAGCATTGATTCCTTTGCCTTTTAGACGGCAGATAAACATTTTATAACAGGAAGCTATATTCATATACGGGGAAGGGTGAAAATGCAGCCGAGAGTGGAGTGATGTACTCTTTGGCCATCAAAAGTAAAAGCGGAGTGAAAAGGAAGAGGCAACGTACCGTCACTGAGGCCACTATTTGCAGCAGACTGACAGAAATAGACACGTCAGCAGCACAACGGAGTGATAAACCCCTTAGCAACCCCGCATATAATATACAGTATATACACACACACACACACATATATATACACATATATATGTATATCTATACATATATACACATATATACACATATATACACATATATACATAAATACACATATATGTGTATATATACACATATATGTATATATATATATACACATATATATGTGTATATATATATTTATATGTATATATACTGTATATATAGCGTCCTTATATCATATATACATATATATATATTCATTTTAAACTGATATAAGGCCGCTAAGAACACCGTAATTGGTATGAATTCATGCAAAGAATTCAATTAGGCTGGTTGAAACGCCATTTTGTTTTTGTATATTTATATTTTCTCTCTACTATTAAAGTCTTCGTTCTATCGTTCCGACGCACGGCGTTAAAACAAATTTGCACGTGGGAACCAGTTGGCATGCGGCGCGGGCAAATATGTCATCACGCGGCGGCTTCTAATTTCATTGTATGAATCACCTTCAATTTTTACTCAGTGCCCACGTCCATTCAAAACGTGCCATGCTGCTGCGCGGTGTGTCACTCCGATCTAAAGAGCTTTGCTGAGTACTTTTAACATCACTTCAACGCAAGACTGTCTGACTTTCAGAGAAAGTTATAGGATAACTCTGCTCTGCCACTTTCAAATAAAATGTAGTTTTAACACAAGACAAAATATATTAATTACACACACCCATTTAAGGTTTGTCGGTTGTGTATACGGTAGGCAGGCTAGTGAAAAAATGTAACTGAAAATGTAATTGAAATTAATAACAGTTGGTGGGCGCTAGTTGGCGCTGCTGCGCCGTACGAGGTACACGGCTTTGTTTACATTCGTGGGTTGTACCCTATACATTGGATTGGACAAGAAACACTGAGATAAATGAATGGATAAATAAACGTAATTTTGTACCTTGAAATTTTCACCCTTAGTACCTACTGCAAAAAATATTTGTTTAATACGATACAAGATTTTTTTTTATCACAGTATTTTTCAGCCTACTAGTGTTTTTTTTTCACGTAACATTATTTTACTTTGTACAGCAAAATTTATGTCACCGCATCCATAGTAAAATTTGCTGCTGAATGCAGAGGAAAAAAGACATGCTGAGTGTAAAAAAAAAAAAAGAAAAATTACTACATTTTTAGACATGTGAAAGTAGGTAGTATTGCACAAGGAGCCCATTTAACACTAATGTGGGTGAAGCGGTGCTTTGTAGTGATTTAATGTGAGTTCATGTGAACGTGAGCAGCACCGTCGCCAAATTGAATTTGTGCAGGTGGGATCTATCTTTAGCTTTTACGTTGCACGACGTAGGTGCGTGACGTAGACTGTGACTGGAAGTACCTAGAGGGCTAATTGCGGTCTGATCGACAGCACCACTGACAGACGCCAACCTACAGAGGCTGACACAGCAGGACGCTGGTGCGGATGCTGCGATGAATGATTGTTACTGGCTTAGCCTCAACACCGTTGCTGCTGATGGCTAAATGCGGGGGCCTCCTCTTTGACCTTGGTGTGGGAAATCAGAATTCAAAAAAATAATTTCAAAAAAATTGGAACCAAAATTATATCCACATCCATAGCACACAGAATTACTTTTTAAAATAACTAATAGAATTATATAAACAAAAAGTAAGAACCTGGGTTACTGTTTCATAAGAACTAATTGTTCTCTGTCGTGGTCGTGTCGTGTCGTGTTGTTGTGGTCGGTGTGGCTGATAATAAGTTAATAATAACTTCCCTGTTTCTGTTTACCTCTGCTGCGGACAAGGACAAAATGAAGGGAGTTAGCCCCGGAGCTAATGTTAGCTTTGGCTAAGTCACTAAGTCTTCCCGGTGCATTCCAACTTCGAAGCAGGAAAGAGCTAACGTGTTACCAGCCATGTTACAGCCACTGTTCGAAAAAAAAAAAACATTTATTTAATTAAAACTGCGGCTTATAGAGAATTTCTTTTTAAATTTAGTGGGTGTGGCTTATATTCAGGTGCGCTCAATAGTCCAGAAATTAAGTTATGCAAAACAATGCACCAGATTATTTAGCTCACTGACCAGGGTTTTTTTAAAAAAAAAAACATATCAAACACCACCTGCAGGCCAAGGGAGGGAGGACACATACATGCTCAAAGACAAAGATAATAAAAAACCACCATAACAACTGAACGCAACAGCTAACTTGCTTTCTAAAGAGTGGCCCATCTGTCCCTGTCTGTACGTGTCTGCTTTGGTTGTTAGGTTTTTAGAGACTCGGTTTGATCATGTTGAAGCTTCTGCTTATGCACTGCAGCACTGTCTTTAGGGGGAACAGAACACACAGGAGCTTGGATTTCCTGACTTTTCTTTTTTTCTTTTTTTTTTCGTACTAAAACGACTGATAGCTCGATTCTGCTCATTGATTTTTCTTTTTTAAAGCAACAGTGTGTCAGGACTGACTGGTAGAGGGGTTGTAGAGACCTGGCCCCTGGGGTTATTAATGAGACAGTCTGTGACTAGACCCTAAGCAGTTCAAACACATTGGAAGGGGTTATATTTCCCAGAGAACAGTAGTGGAAGCCTTGTAAACATTTTCCAGCTACACAGTCGACAGCACCATTGCATCAAAGCCCTGCATCGTACGCTCTTGCCTTTTATCTGTTTAGTTCTTTTTTTTTCTCTTGTAATCTTTTCTTGTTTGTTTTTTTTTTTTTTTTTTGGTTTTTTTGTTTCCTGCTAATGCAATCTTTTTGAATTTTCTCTTTTATCTCTCCTCCCCGCCTTTTTTTCTGAATCCTAGGTCCACTCACAAAAAACCACGACGAGTCTACAATGAACAGACCGAGGGATGAAGGTATCTTATCTGCATGTTTTGTTTTTTTTTCCTTGTGCTCCACTTTTGAAACTCCATGGGGAAATGATGTGTTTGCATCTGTGTTTGTTACCACCTTGTTCTCACCATGCCAAGCACACATTTGACTTATTTTCTATTTTTACCTTGAAATTAACAATTAACAATTAACAATCTTAACAATTAGAAGTGACGAAATATTACGCTTGGTTAGCTTCTGTTTTTGCCGTAAAAAATATTAACAACTTAAGAAATGTCTGTCAACACTTTTTCATTTTTTCGGTGCACATGTTTGTTATAGAAACCATTGCATTCCATGTTTTCCGTTAATGTACAGTGCCTTTATGCTTAATATGTAATGTTATTAAGCACTTTGTCCCTCTCTCCTTTCGCATCTCTAATTGCTTGACAGATGTAGATAATCCAATTGTTGTTGTTGAGGGTTTTTTTTTTTTTTTTTTTTTTTAAACAGCGAAAACATAAGGTTTGGCGCAGGATTGTCAGAGAGCAGTGCAACGGTAGAATAGAGATGAAAGAAAAGGGAAAACTGGAGCATGGCAGGAGCCCGGGGGAGGGCAAGAAGGGGAGGAAAAAAAAAGGGGGGGAAGAATAGTCATAATGAAGACATGTGCATGATTTGTTCGGCCTGGAAAGTGAGAGAGATGGTGAGAAAGATGATGAGATGGGAGAAAGAAGGAGAGGCTTGACATTTATGACGACACTGGATGGATCCTGGCTGGATCAGAGGGGTTAGTGTATGACTGATCCCTTTCGGTTAATTGCTAGAACATTGCCTCGGGAATGTTCAAATATATACGTAATATCACGTTCTAACTCTAAAGTTTTTTTTTTTGGTTTTTTTTTTCGGAAATGATGACTGAGGAGATGTCAGAGCAGGAATCTAAAAAGAACACAGATCTGATTTTATGGGTAGAGTGTTACCTTGATGTGATAGATGAGGGAAAGGATCAGTGCAGGTTAGGTAAAAAGGAAAGCAGTGACTAATCCGTCAGTGTTTTGAAGGCCTGCAGGAGACACAGTGAGCTCCTTGTTAGCAAACTAGGGCTGTGGATGCGAGCTCTCACCCTTTGACCCTGCGGCCATGAGCCACTTTCATTTAACAGTCATCCTTCCCCCGAGGCCCAACCTCCCACCGAGAAGACATATGCATGTCTGTCTCCGTATATTAATCAACACCTACGAATTCATTGTTTTAGTTTGTCAGTAACAACAGCGGGCCTGTCTGTCATAAAAACGCCTCATTGTCTCTACGTCCTGTTCTTTTTATGTCTTTTCTATATTAAAAAAAAATTAAGGAGACGATCCCCACTCTTATCCGCGGTATTAAAAATAAATGTCATCAGAATAATTAGCATAATTTTAACGCTTTTCTTCTCCACACTGTTTAAAAATGTATCACGCATTCCTCCGCCGTATATTTCATGTGCATTTTTCATACAGGGTCTTAAATAGCACTAAATCTGCAACAAAGTTATTACTAAAACCAAACGCTAAAATATTCATTTTATTTAGTAATTAAGGGTAAGTGTAATCATGCTGGTTTAAACTTTTGACCAGTTAAAATCTTCAAACCTTAGAGTAAGAAATTCACACAATTTGTTGAGAACCCTCTATATCAGGCATAGGCAAACTAAGGCCCGGGGGCCGGATGCGTCCCGTTCAGCTTTTTAATCCGGCCCGCCAAGCTTTTCCAAATTATAATTTATTTATATTATCGTTATACGTCTGTCATTTCCCTGCAATACCCATGTTTCCCCAGTAGATAGTGTAGAAAATGATTGCCTGCCATTTCCCTGCAATACCCATGTTTATTGTAGTAGTGTAGATAGTGTAGAAAATGATTGATGAGCATTTTAGCATTTTAGCCTTTACGCGTGACTTTTACATGTCATTTATCTTAGTTCAAATGAACGCTCCATCTATCTGAGGTTTTTGCAACAAGTGCGTTACCACAATTAGTCTTTGTCAATGCAGCGGCGGATCCGTACCTTTACCCTAAAATAGAATCGGGCCGAAGCTTAAAGAAGTAATATTTTCATGTCGCTGCTTTTTCCTTCTGAGCAATACATTCATGACGCTGTCGCTGGGCGTGCAGCTGATGATGGCCTGCTGATGTCACTCTTCCGTTGTGTCCCCCCGTAATGCTGCGATAATTGAACTTGTTTACATATCCTTTGGGAAATCAGGCGAGCTTCGCAAAACACGCCAGAGAAGAGAGGCATGAAAAAACATCACTTCAAGCGTCGGGGCAGAGAATGTGTATTTTTAGCCCGTCTGTTTGTCTGATCCATTAAAGAGGTCTGCATGTGTGAAGCCATATGTGCCATTATTTCACCCGCCGTACGCCGTGTGTGTGTGGCGCGTGCACACGCGCACGTACGCTTTTGAGTGGGAGTGACGCACCCGAGTGCATGTGCAACCTGAGGTTCAGGTGGTGATGCAGGCTAGTGCGGGAATACGTGAGTGGAATTTGTTACCAAGGCAACCTGCATTCAGCGAGTGTGGTGCAATGGAATGAGAGTCAGTTTCCATGGCGACTCGGCATCGCAGCTGTCTATGTGAGAGTCTGTGTGTGTGTGTGTGCGTGTGTTTGCATGTGGGTACATATATGTATATTCTGCGTGAATGTTAGTGTTCATTTCTGTTTCCCGCTGTTTACCACTCACCATGCAGCATTTGTTCGCCTGATCCCGCCACCTGCCAGTGTGGACCTTCCATTTATGTGTCCGTCCATCTGATACTGTGCCATCCTCGGCTCGTGCTTGTCATTTCCTCCTATCTCGTTCCATCTCCTTACGTCTGAGGTCTAAAGCTCATTAGGAGAAATCAAATTAGGTTTTAAAAAAAAAAATGAATAGGATTTGAATTGTCGGCAGCGGGGGACCCGAATGTGTCAAGGTCTGCCCACACGTGTACCCCTCAAAATCACGCTACACACCTGTACTAGTCCACTAGCCAGGACTTAAGAAGCACACACAGAGGCAATTGTGAGGATTTCTCCTGACATTCTCTGCATTCGTTAAAGCATATAGGCGACTCGGAGACGAGCTGTTCCATGACCGCTTGTCCAATTTATACCCTGGTGTCATTGTCAGCCTCGTTCACACACATTAAGACAAAGTCCGATTTTTTTTCTTTTCTTCCACCCTGTTAATGATTCTGTTTTTTTTTTTCTTCCACCCTGTTAATGATTCTGCACTGCATTTGTTTTTGTGTTTTCTTTACTTATTGGTGTATCTGTGGAATTTCGAGGCCGGACTCAAAAGGTTGAGACCCGACGCTTGTGCCACTTATCGTGTGGGACTGCGAGCAATGTCGACACGATGATGGGCAGAGGAGAGTGAATTCAAAACTAAGAATGTGCAATATGGAGCTGCCAGGATCATTTGGGAAGTCAGAGATTTTCTTTTAAACCAGGCGTGGGCAAACTTTTTGACTCGCGGCCCAGAATTGTCCTAAAATTGAACAATTGGGGGGGGGGGGGGGGGGGGGGGGGGCAGGAGTTTGACAACCCCACTTTAACAGACAATGACCCAGAGAACAGACTGGGTTCTGGTCCAGTCCTGGTTCCTGAACACCCCGTTGCTCA